GAGGACTGACTTTGAGCGTGGGGTCAGGAAACTTGAAGGTCTAAAGAAAAGTGGTTTTCCTGCGGTTGCATCATTGGTTACTGCTCAGAGACATGGCAGCAAGTGGAAGGAGGCTGCCTAAAGAGGGAACTAACATACTATTACAACACATTGTTGGTGGTGTAATAAGGGCCTTTAGACCTCTCAAACCAATCCTGTAAGGTATTTATTTATTAATACCCCCATTTTGTTGATGAAAAATTTGAGATTCCAAAGAGCTACATAACCTGTGCAAGTCATAATGTTAATCAGCATTCAAACTGGTATTCAAATCCATGTCTTTTGACCTCGTGTTTGGTAGTAATCGTGGAGCACCAAGCCAAGGCTCTTTCCACTCTGTATTTTTTCTCATTAGTAAGTGTTCTACTGCCCTGAACAAAAACAAATCATACTAAGTGCATCAGTGGAAAAATCCACTCAAGACTAAAATGTTTTAAATATAATATCTTTGTTTACTATGACATAAATACATAAATCCTACTGTTACTGTGGTTACTAATGGAAAAAATATTTTATACAGTTGACTGAAACCAGTGATATAAAAATAGAAGACTATGTAAACTAGAGGTAAAAAGTACCTATTATTTGCTTATTTTTTTGCTCAAGTATACCATACTAGTTCTGAGCACCCTATATTTATCATTTTTATGGAAATCTTCCATAACCAAACGTAAAGCTCATACATACACTATACACACAAAATGAAACTACTGTTTATAGGTAATTAAGTTGGATCTAAAAAAAATCTATAAACCAACCCCCCACAAATATAATGATGAACACATAAGGCACTTACTACGTGCCAGGCAATGTTAGGGTTTAGGTACTATTAACACTCCCTAAGAGTTCTACCAGGTAAATCCTTATTAATGTACAAATGAAGATATTGAGACCCAGAATGATTAAATAACTTGCTTGGGATCACACAGAAGCAAAGCAAGCTTGAGAGTCTGTGGTCTTAAGTAGTGTCACACTACCTTTCATGAGAGAATGGACAGATCCCATCCATTTTACTCTACTACCAAGAACTTCATATGCACCTTGCTCTTGTCAACATCCTGCTCCAGAACCTTCAAGGGACACTTAATAGAATACTGTCCAAGTTCTTTAATTAGCATTTAAGGTCCTCCCAACTGTTACTCAAGTCTACTTTCTATTATTCTGACTCTGGTCACAAAGATTTTCCTTTTCCTACTTATTGTCAACAGAGCTACATAGTCTACTTCCATTCTGCCCCCAGTTTGCTCCTTCAGAAATACCCTCCCAATATAATTGCATTCTAGTTATTCTCCAGAGCTCATTAAAATCCTAGTCCCAAGAAGCCTTTGAAACTGTTCCATTTACTATGATATCGACCTGAAATTCCATTCAAAGCACTTACAGACTATCTTTACTAGGTCTATATACCCATTCCTTTGACCTACTCACACTATAACTTATTTCAAAGCAGGTTGAGTCCAGTGCAGATACTCAGCACAATAATGTTCAAGAATTGCTGATGGTGACTCCCAACTCTGGTTTAAATATACCTGTAGATATTACCAATCTCTCAAAAGATTTAACATTTGTTTTAAACAAAGTTCAACAAAGACAGCACAGTATTTTAAAAGGATGACAAAAATAGGGCAATGCCTTTTACGTTGGGCCTTAGCTTAAATAGACATCTGAGTTTAGAAGCCTATTTCTCTTGCAGTTGATATGATGATGTCTAGACAGCTACTTGGAGCATAAGAAGTTACAGAAGTTTCTATGAAGAGGGGTCAAGAGCAAGGCTGACAGACATTCTTGCACTGCTTTTCTTTATTCTATAAACTATAGGTGAGTTGATTTGATACTTTAGAAAACAAATCATTTTTAAAGTCTTATGCATCAATTAGATTTCAAAATGACACACAGTAAAGAGAATGAAATAATAATCTTACACATTTGTTAACACTTATAATGTCGACATTATAAAAATGTAAATTTGCTATTGTTTTCTTATAACATGATATGGAATAAAGTGTAGAAGAACAATTTCCATTTAAAAAGTCTTCTGGTATGGGAATGTAGCTCAGTGGTAAAGTGCTTCCCAGCATGTCACCCCCCACCCATCTGTTTCAGATATTTATCAACATTTATCAAAATTTTGGGTATCTACCTACTAAACAGAAAAATAATTTCTCACACAAATTGGCAACAAAACCGCAAGTAAATTGGCACAAACAGAAGTCCCTTATTATTACATTAAGCTTGTAATATGTTCTAATTTGCAAGAATTAAAGTTTCTCAGGATGAGACTGAGGTCATTGATGTGAAACTTAAAAACATCTCACTATGGAATAAATTCCACGTTCTGTTCCTTGCCAGAGATCAGAAAATATACAACTTCCTAACAAATAAGGTAGTTTTGAGTTTTCATATTCTGAAACAGTGAAGTATTTAAACAGTACATAAAAGAATAAAGGTATAGTGTACTAGAGTTACAAATTCTTGAATTTGTATACAGACCATGGAGGGCAAACTGACACAATTTAATATTATCCACTGTAACAGACTTACTTAAAAAATATATTAAAATCCCTAGGCACAGTGGCCCACCCACATCTGTAATTCCATTGACTTGGAAGATTGAGGCAGGAGGATCACGAGTTCAAAACCAACTTCAGCAATTTAGCTAGGCTCTAAGCAACTAAGTGAGGCCCTGTCTCTAAATAAAATTTAAAAATGGGCTGGGGATGTGGCTCAGTGGTTAAATGCTCTTGGGTTCAATCCTAGGTAACAAAAAAAAAAAAAAATCAAAACAAGGCCATACTACAGCTCTTGTGACAAATTTTGATTTAAAAATTATCTTATTTTTTCTGATGGCCCTGATGTTAAAATAGAGCTCATTTCAATCAAGACCAACATTAATAGCATTGGTCACATTACATAACTATTTAAATCAATCACTTTATCACATCCAAGGATGTAAATCAAAAGGTTAAAAACTTTCATTAAAGGTCTCTCGGGTGTACAAGTTCCTTTGGAGTTGGGGATGTGGCTCAAGCGGTAGCGGGCTCGCCTGGCATGCGTGGGGCGCTGGGTTCGATCCTCAGCACCACATAAAAATAAAATAATGTTTTGCCCACCGAAAACTAAAAAATAAATATTTTTAAAAATTCTCTCTTTAAAAAAAAAGGTTTTTCATTTAATACTGCATTACAATACTAAATGGTCTGACCCCATGACCTGGGGCTGGTTCTCAGGAAGGCTCATTTATTTAGGTTCTGCCTGTGTCACTTAAATCATTCACTTAAATTCTAAAAATCTCTATTTGCATAAAAAGTGAACTAGATGACTTTTAAGGTCCCTTTAATAACACAAGTCTAAATCTTCAAAAAAATTTAGAAATGTGTTGTTTAAAATCTTTCATAAACATTTACACTTTATCTCTCTTGAAAAGTAATAAGGTATGATTACCTGAGGAAAAACTGCATCCATCCCAATAATTACCTTAAGGGCCTGCCACAACAAATTCGGCCCTATTGTAACACCTCTAGCTAGACAAGGGCTGTTAGGCACTGAAAAAATCTGGGGAATAGGAAAGGGCAATGATATATCTGTGCTTTGTTTAAAAAAAAAAAAAAGAGGAAGTGAGGCCTGTTTACTTACTCACCCAACTTTTTAAACAATTTCATCCAAAAACTGATTACATTTTACTTGATTCATATTTCAATCAAATACTAATAGACTGGACTGAAAGTTATACCATTTATGTGACTAATCTCAATAAAAATGATTTTAAATAATGCATTGTTTTGAAATTGAGAAAATATCTGTCAGTGCTGTTTTTACTGTTCTATGACATCCTCTCTTGACTCAGTTCATACTTTCTCCCTTAACCCAAACTGTCAGGGCTGTTATACTTTTGTCAAAAGATGAATCTTTTATTCTCCTTCAAATTTAATATCACTTCAAGTTGGGTCAGATCAATGAAAATTATGTCAAAAAAATAGTCTCAATAGAAAGATTTGAGGACACAAGTGTGTATCTTCCACATAGTCACAGCTGTAAAGGAAGTGCATTACCTAACTCTACTTAAATTACCTATGTGGCTTGGTCATCCCAGAATTATCTAAACTCTAAATAATATTATATACAATGTTTAGAGTAATGAGTTCAGTAGGTATAAAAATAAAACTTCTACTTCTAAAAAAATGACCTGCTGTGGAAACAAAATTCCTAGTTTACCATCCTGGAACTCTGTTACTTAGTAGCTATGACTTTATACCCAACATCATGTCTAACAGTAATTGGCTTTATAGGTGCATATACTTACCACATAAATTCCTAGAGGGCAAGGTCTGCTTTTCACACAATAGCTAACACTCTACATGTGTTTTCTCATTAACCATCACAACTGTTACCCATTTTAAAAGTGAAAAAAATGACATTTTGAGAAGTTAAACTCAATATCATAGCTAACATGTTGCCAATCTGGGACTTCAACTCAGATTTGCCTGACCCTTTATCTCATTCTCTGGAACCAAGTAAGTTACATAGCAGTAAAGTGTATGAATCCCCTTCAGGAATGACTAATCTTTGGTCTTTGTGGTTGTCAGATTTTATATTTCCAGAATCAAAGGACTTAATGACTTTTGGTTTACCTTCATATTAGACAGTGGGGTGCTTTAATTTTAATAATCCTAAATGAGTTCCTGAGCTTAAAGTTCTCCAGTTATTGCAGCAGTTTCGTCTTACTTCATTTACCTTTATTGGGTTCCTACTGAGCACAAATAGTGGGCAAGGAAATACCAGGATCAAAAATAATAATAATAATAATAATAATAATAATAATAATGCCCCTTCGGGTAGTGAAAGCTACCACAAAAATCAAGGTATGGAATTTTTAATTTATCATACACAGCATGAACTGTTTCCAACAAGGCTTAACTCAAATGATTTTCAAAATCCTCAGCCCAAGGCATTTTAGTACCTACCTGTATGCTACAGCACTTAGCAGTCAGCCTTGTTAAACTCCAATTTACTCATAGATACCTCCCCAATGCAATCGACAACGTTTTCCATCAGTTCGTCAGTATTCACTGATCATCTGCCCTATGAACAAACAAGGAGTCCTGTCCCCAGAAACTGGCAGCCACAGGCCTCTTGACTTTTCTTTAAAGGTCCCCACCCCTGTATGAAGTCGCTTCTCTAGCGGCCACTGCTCCACTGGAGTGTAAACTTGAAGGGACTTCAAAGAGACCAGACTGCACACGTTCAGAGCGGATAATCGCCGGGGCAGCGGAATGGACAGTAAGCTTAGCAGCCCCGCCGCCCCGGGACCGGCGCGAGCTCGCGTCACATTCGCCGCCTCCCGAGAAGCTGCGACCCACGCGCTCACCGCCCGCCCCTCCGTGCCTGCGGCATTCCGCAAGAGGCCGGGTTCAGAACCAGGCCTACGCGAAGTTCGTTCCTGCTCCCGGAAGGGAAAAGGGAGAGGAAATCTGAGGAGCCTCAGAACCGGTTCCAGCAACCAGGGAACAACCCAGTACGAACTCTCAACTGTGAGGCCTCACGTCTAACACGCACTAGGCGCAAGAGCCAGGGACGTGAGCCCCGCCCGCCCGCGAAGCCCCAGCCAATCCGGAATCCGCTCCGGTAGCCTCACGCGCCGTGCACACACGCACGCAACGCGGGGACACGACCCTCCCCGCGACCGGTTGCCAGTTTCTGATTGGCTGGGATAGGCTGTGGGCTGGAGTTGGAGTAACCGCGCGGACGGGGCGCGCGGACTGGGTACACAAGCCGGTCCGGTGGTGAAGGGTTTTGTCGCTTTCGGTAAGAGGAACGTAAGGCCGGCATTATGAGTCAGCTCACCCGACGGCGGCCCCGGAAAAAGCGGGCAGCGCTTGAATGGATCTAAAGGATCTTGGGAGGTTTGGGGCCGGTGGCTGAAGGGGAGCGATGGCCGGGGCAAGGGAGGAACGTGTAGCTGGCGGCCTCGGGTCTCGCGGATCGTGGGAAGGAAGGGTCGGTAGACAAGGCCGGGTCCTTTCGGCGAGCGGATGCGGAGGCAGAGAGGATTGAAGCAAGAGAAGTGTGAGACCCTGGGGCCCTGGGGAGGGGATGCTACTGGGGCTGGTTGTGGGGAGGAGGAGCCTGAGCATGCCCTGAGCTCGGAACCGTGTTGGGATCCGGGGCTGAGGAGGGATAGTGAGCGTGAGCGCTCCGGCCTTGGAGCCCTGACAAGGTCACGGGAAGAGAGAGGACAAGAGGGTGAAAGGTTGAGGAAAGGGCATGAAACCAGAGGATCTTCCAACCTAGATCTTCCCTGATCCCCAGTCCGGTGTTTCCTTCCATCCTTTGCGACCCTATCCTACGCCGTGAAGGTGAGAAGGCCTAAGGCCTGATATAAACCATCTGTAGCAGCATTAAAATTTCTTTCTGACAAGTAAACCTGCCAGTTGGAGGTTACAAATGCGTAGCGTGAGTTCAAAACTGTGAGAAGCCAAAATGATTTAGCAATTCGTCTTTCGCTTTTATTCTTGGTTGGAAGGAGCTCTTTCCTTCTTCTGGGTAATACCCACCAAAGGAATCTATGCTTCAGAAAGTACCAAGGCACTTTTCAGTGTGACCGGTTTGGTGGCAAAGTTCTGAAAATTGAAGTAGTTTAGCACAATACGAATTCGGAGTCCTGTATAGCAGCAGATACTCTCATACTTTTTTGTGCACCAGAATCATTTAAGGGGGCCTCTTTAAATACTGATTTGTTGGGTCCTGTCCCAAATCATCTGAGTCAGAATTTTCAGGCTGGGGCGTTGGCAGCCATTTTAAACAAGCTGACAGGTGACTGATGCAGAATCAAAGTTTGACACATTGTATTAGATTATAGTTACTCTGACCAGATCCTTTACATCACCTTATGCTAGGCAGCTCATTTTCCCTTTCACCTCTTCTAGTAGTAGTAAGCTTACAGAATAATTGGTGTTCTACAAACTGAATATCTTGTTATCATTTCCTCTTTTTGTCTCTGTTCAACTTTCTGGCAAATCTGGAGTAATCACGTGGGTGAATGAGATACTAAAGGAAAATTAGTGAAAAAGATGATTGAAAATCAAAAGAAATAAAAATTGTTGGATTAGTTAAAATCACTGAGGGAATAAGACTATTTAATGCCTTAAACAATTTTTTACAATTCAAAGAGAGTGTTGTGGGTTTTAATTAAAGAATGTACTTTTATTTTTTCAGATTAAATTTGTACCAGCATCAATAGAATGATGGTTTAGTAATCTCTTATCAATCCAAAAGAACCCTGGACTCTATCAGGAGAGCTGGATCTATCCTACTATTCTGATTCTATTCTCCCTGAGATGTATTCCTGGTTTTGAGCAATTCATATAATCCTTCAGGACCCTTTTCCAACCTATAAAATAAGGGTATTGATAATCATCTGGTGCGTGTTGCTTTCAAATTATATGATTTGTGGTTATTTGAAACTTTAAGAATGACATTTTCAATTTTAGTAGCTATAAATCATGAATACTTGGGAAACTCTAGATGGCATTAAGACAATTATCAAAAATTTATATTCAGAAAGTATTTTAGGTATAAGAATATATAGACTACATTAGAATTATATCATTTATAAAAATAATAGAGATATAATTTGAATTTAGAACAACAGCTCTGTTATATGTGTTAGATTTATCTTTTATGTGGTGCTGAGGATCGAACCCAGTGTCTCACATGTGCCAAGCGAGTGCTCTACCACTGAGCCACAGCCACAGCTCCTAATCATTAGTGTTTTAAAGCAAATAATAACCACAAGATTTTCCACACCCTGATCCCCACTCCCACCCCCTTGAACTGGGGATTGAACACAGAGGGGCTCTATGGCTGAGTTATATCCCCAGTCCTTTTAATTTTTTTTTTGGTGGGGGGAGGGTCTCACTAAATGGTTGAGGTTGGCCTGGAACTTGAAATCCTTCTTCCTTCTCCAGAGTCACTGAGATTACAGGTGTGTACTACTGTGCCCAGCCCTACACCCTGATTCTTACTGCAAAGCTTTTCTCAGAAAGCTAAATCAAATATCCTACTCATACAAATTTTAGAGTCTGTATCATAGATAAGGAATGGAAAATGACAGACTTCATCTGTTCTTCTTTGTATATACAGTAAAGAGAGAGTTATCTCCCCCCTTCCTGAAAGGAGAAAACCTTTTTGCTTAATGGACCTGTGGATGATTATAGTCATCCACATGTGAAATAATTAGAGGAAAACCCACCAACTTTCTAAATTTTAAAGTCAATATTCAAGTGATATTTTAGATTGGGAATAATTAAGGCAAAGGAGGAAAACGTATCTGCCAAAGAAAATGTATTGTGGTCTGTAATGGTTTTGTCTCTTGAGGCTGCAAGAAACCAAGACCTTAGCTCATCATTTATTTTTTTCATAGATATATATGAATAATAAAATAAATTAATGAGGCTGTGGCTGTGGCTCAGTGGTAGAGCACTAGTCTCCTACACACGAGGCCCTAGGTTCGATTATTATAAAAATAAATAAAAGAAAAGTAAATAAAGATAAATATAAAAATAAAATAAAGATAAAAAATTTAAAGAAAAAAGAAATTATCACTTAAGTATATACAATTTGGTTTTTTCATACTGACTGATTAACTCTACAAATACATATAACTTATTTTTAATTGTTGAGAAACATAACTTTTAATCAACAAACATTTTGTGGTGTACTTATTCTGTACAGGTCATTGCAGTAAATCATAGAGATAGATACAGAAAGTATAGGATTGCATAACCAAAGTACATATTGTAGACTTAAAGAATCAAAGAGGACTTTCCAGAGGGAACTAGTTAGGATGCAAACCTGAAAAAATAGGGGTTAGTTAAGAAAGTTTCCGAAGGAGATGAAAAGTGGGGAGAGAGAAGAAAACTGTCATAGGAAAAGGAATCAGCTTTTGCAAAGGCCAGAAGTATAGAGAAAATCTAAGAGATTTAATGTCATTACAATGTGGCATTGAGAAAAAAAGGTGGAAAGAGAATTTGTGATACACACAGTTATATATTTGATAAGTTTATGAATAGGTATGAAGGCAGCTAATAAACATCCCAGCCTAAAATAAACTCAGTGTTAAATTCCTCTGTTTAGTTCTTCAAATCAAATCTCATATCTTTTCTTTATGAAACTTCTCAAGCCTTCTTTAGACATCACTCCTTTGAAATTCAGTTTTGTCTCTTACATTATTGGCAATTAATCACATTTTCACTTCTCTTTTTAAATAGTACTTAGTTTTTGAACCATTAGTTCCTTTAGTATTTATATTTATCTCTTTAAATATACCAAGCATTCTGGACCTGGACCTTATTAAGCCTTATATATAAAAAATTTAATAAGAGTTTATTCACTTTTGAAATAATGGAATACCAAAAAAAAAAAGTCTAATTTGAATTTTCCCCTGTAAAGTTTTCTTCTTTGTTAGATGGTTCTTCTCAATGGAGTGGGGCTTTGAGGGATGAATTCACTTCTCAAACTAAACATGCCCTTGATGTACTATGAATTGAAATGCATTCTGCTGTTGTATATAACAAATTAGAACAAAAAAATTAATTTAAAGAAATACTAAAAATACCACCCCCTTTAGAATTGCATTTTCTTGAGGGCCCTTACTGCCATTTATCCTGTTCGAATAGCAAATTGTTGATGAGGGCTTCTCTTATTGAAGGGAGTGTGATGCACATGAGAAATTCAGAAGTGAAGGTAGGATTTTATATGAATAATGAGATGGTCAGTGCACTTATGTATTGTGTTTGACTTCTTTATTTTATCTGTAGGGTAAAGTTTATGGGCAGTTCAGATAAGTGTCAGGCTGGTCACTTGCTTTTTTGGGTGCCATTAAAGGAACAATATAAGAAAAAAGTAGTTTTAAAAGGAGCCATTTCTAGCAACATTATTTAAAATAAGTCTTTGTCTCTAAAAGGAATAAATAATAAACGAGGTAGAAAATCTGGCTATTTGAAATAATCTTTAAAAAAAATCCCACCATCAATAGCAGAGATTAGTGTAATACAATGGAAATATTCAAAGGTGGCATGTTTCAGTTACCAAATTAGCATTTGAAGGCAATTAAAACTGTGTTTAACTATACTTTAAAGTGCTTAATAGAATTTCCAACATGATATTGAAGAGTCAGTAGGAATTATCACTTTGTTTTGAGTACTGTTTTTAATAGTATGATGACATTTAAAAGAAATTGGTTGTTTGTGAGAAAAGGTAAAATTATGGAGTAGTAAATATATACAACTCTAAAGATGGCTATAGATTTAAAATAGTAATTTCTAAAAATATTTTTCAAAGTTCATGAGTAACACATATCAGGTTACTCATGGAAATTAGGAATATTTACATTCATTCAGGTATTGAATAGTGCTCTAGATGCTTTTATAGAACCTCATAGAATTTCTCTTTCAGGAAGTTTCTTCAAGCAATCACTATGTCAACCAACACAGATGTTTCTCTTTCTTCATATGATGAAGATCAGGGATCTAAATTTATCCGAAAAGCTAAAGAAGCACCATTTGTGCCTATTGGTAAGTTGGACTTCGATATTCTGATACTCAGTCTGCTATAAGCTTAAAACAATGAAAGCATGATAAGCTTATTCATTGAGCACATCCTAAAATAATTTATTTTCAAGTATTTTTTATTATGTTATTGAAATATGCCGAATACAAAATTCTTCTGTGTGTATTCAGACATCTTATCTTATTGACTCACATATCAGTGAGGAGTTGAGGAATCCCAAGTCTACCTTCAGGCTCAATGACTTAGCAAGACTCAAAAGATTCAAAAAAGTATTAGAGTCATGGTTATGGTTTATTATAGCAAAAGGTTATAGGTTAAAGTCAACAAAGGCATGTGAGATAAAGTCCAGGAGAAACCAAGCATAATGTTCCAGGTATCCCCTCCCAGTGGAGTCACACAGTGACATTTAATTCTTCTGGCAATGACATGTGGCAACATATGCAAAGTACTGCCATCCAGGGGAGTTTACCAAGCCTTGGTGTTCAGGTTTTACTGGGGGTGAGTCACACAGGCATGCAGTCCCTTGGAAGACATAAAATACAAAACTACGTGATCATCTCAATTGAAATCTTAAAATCAGTGTATTAGAATCCAGTTTATTCCAGAAATCAAAAAGAAATACAAATTATACTTTTAGATTTGAAACATTAAAAACATACCCTTTAAAGTCAGAAATAAGACAGGAATATATGTGAACACTATTATTGTTGTTTGAAGTTGTATAAGTACATGAAAAAAGCTGTACATACTTTAGGAAGTGGGGTGTGTGTGTGTATTTTTCCTATACAGATAGTTACATATAGTTTTATGTGTATAACTATCTGTATAGGAAATCTAAGAAAATAAGTGAAGAACAACTGAAATCAATTTCATGAATGCCTCACAAAACATCTAGGAATATTTAAGGCTTACCTAGAGAAATTAAAACTACAAAATTGTATTTAAGGACACAAAAGGTTTGAATGGAAATTGATAAATGTACCACATTCTAGGATCTCCATTCTCCTTAAATCCTTTCTCATTTCTAATGGTGTCTTTTGATTTTCTTTGTCTTTGGTTAGTCTTCCAGGAGCTTGTACTCTTGATCCTTTTCAGTGCTAATGTAATTGCTTGAATTTCCTAATCTCTCAGGTTTTATTTTAACCTCCATACTCAAGTAGAAGTACTTAACTTCTCAGTGGTTAGTGGTGTGTATATATGGCTATTTTGATAGCTAAATTTTGATTTTGTGTTTACAATCTTGGAATACAACCTTTCTGGAATTTGAAAGTTTCTTTGTAGCCTAATACATGTTCTCATTTTGCCAAAGCTTCATAGACATTTGAAAGAATAGGTGATCTCTATGTTTTAAATTAAAATATTGAATTTTATTTATTTTAAAATATTATAATTTAGTAAAGTTATAATGACACCATTTAATTTGGTCATTTTCTAATAGAAACATTATTTTTCCCATTTTTATCATCTTCAAGTATGATATGCCTTATGTTGCTAACAATTTTTTGCTTAATTTATTTTGTTGCTATGTTGATTAGATTATTTAAAGTTTATGACTACTTTTATAAACTAACCTTTTATTATAAAATGCCTGCATGTATGACATAATCAGTGCTTTTTAACCTAGAATTCTACTTTGATATTAGTATTGACACCCCTGCTTTCTTTTTGTTTGCATTGCCTAGTCTTATCTAGGCAAATTCTTTTATTTTTAACTCTTTAGTGTAAATTAGTTATGTCTCCTGGAAGAATATGTCCAGGTTTTGTTTTTTTAACCTAGAAGAGGACATTAACCTATGTTGATATTATTGTAATAAGTTCTCTTAGTTTTGTTTCTACTATATACTTTATTTTCTGTTTGTTGTGCTTATTGTTTCGTTTGTTCTTTTATTTATTTATTTTTTTAATGTTTTGGAAGTTCAGCTATTCCTATACTACTGGTAGTTAGTTTTACAATTTTAATTGGGGTGTATTTTTTCACTTACTTCAAAAGTTAAAATGAACGTTATAATAATTATAACTTTAATTTCAGATTATTAATTTTTACTATTAATTTCCTCCATCACACCCAGGTATTTTTCATAGGATTTACTAACTCTATTGCTTACCACCATATCTCACACTCTGTTTATTTCTTTCTCACTTATTAATTTCTTGAACTGTCTATTTTTTTTATTTCCTCAAGGTTTTATATAAGTACATGGGTGATTACACTTTGAAAACATCCAAGATCATGTCATTCCTGAATGTTTTTTGTCTTCTAAATGATTGAGAACTTGGTCTTGCATAGAATGTTAGGGTCATTATCCATTTAATTCAAACTCTTAGTATTGCTCTATTGCTTTGACTATGCAGTGCTATACTTTCCAGTATAGTATCTCAGATTTTGAAGTATATAGACAAGATCTCTCAGTGCTAGTAAAGTATAGATTGTCTCTGTGATATTAAGTTATTGCCTTTAGGAAGAGCAGTAGGACAGGAAGGAAGAGTTATAAACTCATTCCATAATATATAAGACATTGAGCATATTTGTTGTGTTTTAATAATCATTAGCTTAATTCCTATTATTCCCTGATATGCCTTTAAAAGGCCTTTATTTAGTGGCTCCACAAACCACATTTTAAAAAATAACCCTGACTTTCTGAATTTGCTAATGTTTGCTATCAATTATAGATTTTTGGGTTCTAGGGGGATATTTTTTTAAACTGTTATTTGTGTTCAGCTAATTAATGATCTGATAAATTATAGAAATAATAGAAAAGACACTGATTAATGTTAAAATCCTCTTGGTCCCCTTCCTCTATGCATCTAACATATTTACAACTATTTGTTTTACAGGAATGGCAGGTTTTGCAGCAATTGTTGCATATGGATTATACAAATTAAAGAACAGGGGAAATACTAAAATGTCCATTCACCTGATTCACATGCGTGTGGCAGCCCAAGGCTTTGTTGTAGGAGCGATGACTCTGGGTAGGTTCCTAAAGGAAATTTCAAATTTGTGGTTTCCCATTAATGTATTTCTTTAAAAACCAAACAAGAGAGGTACTTTTAGCAGACCTTGAAGCAGTTTGAAAATACAAGTCATTTTCACCTAAAAATTGAATTAATAAAAATAATTAAAGTGTGATACAGTTTTACTGTCTATGATATATCCTATTAAGGTTTTAAAGAAAGATTTAGGTTTTAAAGTCTATCACTGAATTTATAATTTCATTGAAGAATCCAGACATGCAAATAGGGTCGGTAGTAACATCAGTTTTCTAAGAAAGACCTGATTGCTATTTTACTGGGTTTTTAAAGATGAAAAAGATTTTTAAAATGTTTTTTTTTTTTTAATTTTTTATACCTTTATTTGTTTATTTTTATGTGGTGCTGAGGATTGAACCCAGGGCCTCGCATGTGCTAGGTGAACGCTCTACTGCTGAGCCACAACCCCAGCCCTTTAAAATGTTTTTATATATATGCTTTGGTTGGCATTATAATTTTTTTCTGGCAAGGAGGCTACTGAGGATTGAACTCATGGGCACTCAACCACTGAGCCATATCCCTAGCCCTATTTTGTATTTTTTTTAGAGACAGGATGTCACTGAGTGCCTTGCTTTTGCTGAGCATGTCTTAGAACTCATAATCATCCTGCCTCAGCCTCCCAAGCCGCTGGGATTACAGGTGTGGGCCACCACGCCTGGCTATAATTTATTGACTATCTGGTGTTATGGCAACATTGTGACTCCTTTTAAAAATGCTAGATCAATATTCGTTGATCTTTAAAACAAATATTGTAACATTGTGATATATTCATACTAGCCTTGAGAAATTATATATAAAAAGAGTTTTAGAAATTTAAATTGTTTAGGAAAATAGGATCTATCCCTCTTGTAAATATTCTGTACTAGCAAGGGTACTATTTTTAGCTATTCTGTGAATGTTTTGTATTTTCTTACTATTGAAGAGAATATTTTAATACTTAACTAGCATTCTTTTTCTCTAGGTATGGGCTATTCCATGTATAAGGAATTCTGGGCAAAACCTAAACCTTAGAAGAAGAGAAGCTGTCTTGGTCTTGTTGGAAGTGCTTGTTTTTGTTATGTTAAAGTTATATGTTTATGTCAAAAAATAAATCCCTTGAGTGGGTTCAGGCTGTAATACGGTATTTTGAATAATGGCTTCTTTTCTTGCCCACTTGATTTGCCTGGTTATCAAATTATTAATGACTTCATTGACTGGATCATTCAGGGAAGTCAAGTTATCACAAAAGAAACATACACTGGATAGTGTTACAACACTCACCTTCTTAAATGCTTATGACAGAAATTACTTCTAAAGAAGACAAAAGGCCAGGCCTGAATTACTCCCAGTTTACTACAGAATATCATACACATATTTTGAATGTTGGGTGGGAATCCTACTTAACCCAGTTAATTTAACTTTTTTCTACCTGCCTTGTGAACTGGTTTAAGAACTTCAGTTTTTTAGTGTTAGTTGGCTCTTAAAGAACTATTTCATATTTCACAAAATGTGAAATATAACTTGTAAATCTTCCCACAACTGAAAGAGAGAGAAGAAGGGAGGGAGAGTGTGTGTGTTTTTAAACCATACCTGGAAAGCTCACAACAGAACTGATAGAAGTAGTATTTATTTCAGAATCACACTTATAAACATAATAATTTAATTATTGGTTCCACTTTAGCTCTTTTATAATTGCAGAATTATATTTTTGCTGTTGTATTAGAATAATTTTTAAATGTTATCTTGAAAGAGAAATATGTATTTTAAGTGCTAATACAAAGGTAAATTAAGAACGCCGTTTTAATGTGTGCAGTATATTTATTTTCTCTGTATGAATTGCAAGTGTTAAACAAATTACCTAAAATGGAAGTGATTGCTGGTTTTGAGCAAGCTGGTCTGGTCAGACATTATACACAAGCTTTGGTAAACTACAGCATTCTTTAGTATACTTGTAAATTTCCTTTGTCTAACCTGAACTTACATTCCATGGTAATAACATGGTATATGTGTTGTTATTAAAATAACGAACACATCAAATGTCTTGTATCTGTTTGTTTGGAAAAATAACTCATTCTTCAGAGTAGCACAGAAATCAGGTTCCAAGAAAAAACAATGTTTTATGCTTTTTGTAGGAAATACCATTTAAGAATACCTATGAAGTGGAAATAATAAATAATATATATTGAATGTTTACTGTGTCACACGTGCTCTAAGAACTTTATTTATATGTGTCACTAAAGCTTCCTAACAACCCTAAGAGGTAGGAACTATTATTCTTGTTTCACAGTGAGAAGACTGAGGCAAAGATAGCAGAAGCAACTTGCCCAAGGTCACGTAGCTAGAGAAGGTTTTAAGTGTGGGACTAGAACCTGGGCAGCCTTGCTGAACAGCCAGTATTCCACTATATTATGCTGTCCCTGGAACTGAGCAAATGGTTATTTGTGTGTGTGTGTGTGTGTGTGTGTGTGTGTGTGTGTGTGTGTGTGT